TGTGTGTGTGTGTGTGTGTGTGTGTGTATGTGTATGTGTGTGTGTGTGTGTGTGTGTGTGTGTGTGTGTGTATGTGTGTGAGCGTGAGCGCTTCTGTGACGTGACAAAGAGAAACAGATCCGAGAGTCCTAGCGAGAGAGAGAGGAGCTGTATATGATAGAATGTGATCAGAGAGATAAGAGAAAAGGTGGGAGGTGGAGTGTATGGGGAGATAAATAGATAGATACCCGCGATCTTCTCACGTCTAAGGCTACTTTCTACCAAGTTTGATGTTTGTGTAATCCGCGCTTTAACCCCCCCCCCCCCCTGCTCCCCCCTCAACTACTAAGTTAAAAAAAAATTCAAATAACAATATCCGATGAAACGACATAAAATTGCGCAAATTTCTTCCAAAAAAGTTATTTTCAACATACATATTGTGGAAAAAAGTACGTGTTATTGAAGCCATTGTGCAAATATATGACAGCGAGTCGCATGCCCATCATTAATTATTGTTTCGTTTTCAGTATTGTTCTGACTGATCGCAACAAAGTTCACAATTAGATCTAGGCACAGAATTCTAAGAAGTGTAGAATTCCGTGCAATTAGGGGACTGCTTATGAGAAATGGAAGTTACGAAAAAAGGAGTTTATATAGGCTAACGCTTGTAATAAAATTAAGGGGGATGTCTATAAAGAAGCTATTCAAACATGTACTGCATCATTAAGATGAAAATGAGTGGACGGGGATTGAGATTAGCTGAGACTGGAGTTGTTTTATATTTTTGATTGTATATTTCGGTAAGTGGACTTTAGAATTCATATTTGTTTACAAATGGCGGCTGATGTGCGGGAGGAAGACGTCAAATGCGAATTGTCTTCGCGATCGGCGTTATCGAAAGAAAGTGATGATGAAGTTTCGTCATCATTATGTTCCACTGAGTACATGCCTTCTTATTTGATCGTGCAGGAGCAAATGAGAGATTTGATTCTCACCCAAAAGTCTGCTGCGGAAGAGCTTGTTCGCAGTAACGTAAGTACCGTGTCACTACACGACACACGTACACGGACTCAACCAAGTTTTTAAAAACATTTTATAGATCTAGACCTAGATTCTAGATTCTATCTCTAGATCTAGATTCTAGATCTAGATCTAGGGAAGATTGAAGAATACCGGACCACTCGTACATTATTGCGCGAGAAAGTGGGGTTGGTGGGGCGGGTGGTTGGAGTGGAGGAGGGGGGAGGTGGGGTTCAGGGGGGTCTCCCCCCTGACAAAATTTTAATGAACAGATCTACCGGTCCAAGATTCTCCATTGAGAGATATTAAAAACAGGAAAATTATGAATTCCTAAGGTTGGGACATAGGCAAAGTCAGTCCGCTGGTCCGGTATTCTTCATTCATCTAAATATTCTAAGTTAAAATGCTGTAGGGGATGCCCATTAGCGGGTCGGGTTGGGTCATCGGGTCGGGTCGCTTTCTGGCGGTTTCAGTGCACACTACAGCCCCGCCGCGATTACCCGACGACCTGAAAGTTAAAGTAGAGAAACTTTGAACCTACATGCGACTACACAGAGGACGCAAACTGGCCTACGATTGGCTGAACTTTTGACCCATGAATACATTATAAGTAGATCTAGGCCTACGGTACTCTTGGACTTCCCGCACCCTCTCTCTCGGTCTCCCTCTTGGTGCGTGTGTGTGCGCACGTATATGTGCATGAGTGCTTGCTTGCTTACTTGCTTGCTTTAGTGTCTCTCTCCTTTCTTGTTTATTTCTCACTTCCCATATCAGAGACCTAGATCTAGCATACAACATTGCTAGGTCTCTGCATACATCTCTCAACTTATCTCTCTCACTCCCTGTCACTCTCACCACCTTCCCTCTGTACTGTAATGCTCCTCCTTCTTACCCGTCTTCTTCTTCTAGGCCTATGAGCACTCCAAACCCGCTGTGAGAAGTGAGAAGATGGTCAAAGGCGTGAGACCGAAACCGTGAATTCCCAGCCTACTTAATGTATATTATTTCGAAGTGTATACAGACCCGGTAACCGGGAACAAAGTCACGAAGTATACAGACCTGGTAGGGGAACTCTTTTGTGATTTCGGGAAGTTTCAGCGCCCAGACCCAGTAGTGTGTGTGTGTGTGTGTGTGTGTGTG